GAAGTGGTAGAGGGGGAGAGTAAGGACAAGGGGCAGGGAGAAAGAGAGAGAGAGAGAGAGAGAGAGAGAGAGAGAGAGAGAGAGAGAGAGAGAGAGAGAGAGAGAGAGAGAGAGAAAGGAGAGACGGCGTAAGTGGAAACGACGAAGCGAAATGTAAATTTTAATATTTAAAGGTATTTCATATGTGAGCAAACATTTTATGCATGACTAGAAACATTTATGAGACACGTCTCTTCACTCTCTTCCTCGCGCTTTCCCGTTAAATTTTTTAAACTATATTGAAGACTTCTTCAAACTCTCAATAAAAATATTTTTTAAATCTCATTTTGCATTTTTTCGGCGATGCGCCCTTGTTTTCTGCAGTACCGTCTCTCGGCCGCCGTTGAATGTCATAAAGGTTGTTATCGACCATCGCCATCTTCCCGCCACTCTTCATCGGCGAGACGGCTATGTTGGAACCGGTGGCGCCACCTGCCGCCGTCTCAATGTCGCCAGAGCTTCCGTTCATCAGGGCCTGCATTTCAGCCTGGTGGTGGGCCGTTTTTCGATTCCCCTCCAGCGCCTGAAACGTGAGAGCAACAGTTTGGTCTTTATTGTGAAATGAGCAGCCTGGAAATACGCGAAAAGAAAATAAATCACGAGTCGTGGTCTTTCTTGGTGATGATATACTGCACGGTCTGTACTAGCCACTGTACTAGGCGTGTACTACGTAAAAAGTGGGTCAGTGGTAGAAAGCATTTAACTAACTAACAACTTGACCCAACGCATAGCTGGCACATGGAGAGAGAAGGGGAGGGATGGAGGGAGAGAGAGGGGGAGGGATGGAGGGAGAGAGGGGAGAGAGGCAGGCAGACCGTTTGCTCTATTTCATTGGGTAAAGTTGATCGCGCTCTGTTTCCCTTAACTGCCCAGAGCCTCCAGCGTTTACATCTGCGAGTGAGTGAGTGAGTGAGTGAGTGAGTGAGTGAGTGAATGAGTGAGTGAGTGAGTGAGTGAGTGAGTGAGTGAGTGAGTGAGTGAGTGAGTGAGTGAATGAGTGAGTGAGTGAGTGAGTGAGTGAGTGAGTGAGTGAGTGAGTGGGTGAGTGAGTGAGTGAGTGAGTGAGTGAGTGAGTGAGTGAGTGAGTGAGTGAGTGAATGAGTGAGTGAGTGAGTGAGTGAGTGAGTGAGTGAGTGAGTGAGTGAGTGAGTGAGTGAATGAGTGAGTGAGTGAGTGAATGAGTGAGTGAGTGAGTGGT